ATGAAGTACGATGATGAGTGTCGCTTGTAAGGCGCAGAGGAGGGTGATGGGAAAGAGTTGATTGGACAGGGATAACGGGTGTGGGTCAGAAGCTCCACCGGCGCCGGTGACCCCGGAGACGCCAAAGGAGACGGAGGTGCCACAAGCAGGGCTAAGAGGGAAGAGAAGCAGTCGAGGCAAGGCAAAGGCGGTAGTGCAGCCAAAGTGGCAACTCAGCCACGTTCTGACGAACGACGAGAACAACAGCAACAACAACAATAGTAACAGCAGCAGCTGCAGCAGCAGCGAGGCCGAGACGCCGACGAGCGGTCGCCCCTGCCGCCGCACTGCTGGTCGCCACCGTGGGTTCGACAACTACGTGCTTCTGATGCGGACAAGATAGAGGGCGACACATTGGAGTAGGAAGGGGTGAAAATTCTTTGACTTTTATGGAATAAGTGGTGGTAGAGATAGCACAAATCGGGAGTTTTATTGACGATTTGTGAGGAGGAAGTGATAGTACTGTGGATAGGCTTTGTGAAGGGTGGAACAGTTAGCTTTTGCCATTGGCGTTACTTTGATTCTTTGTTCATTAACCCGGTAGCAGATGCAGCATGGGATGTTTGGTCTGGGGGAGGGTGGGCGGTGTAGATGCTATGTTTTGGGGTTGGTTTTGAGAGAGTTCCTGGATGATGTGTGGCGACAGCGGATGGTGACGGAGTGGTGGTATGGTTTGGTGGTGTGTTGGAACGTCACATTGAAGCTGCAGTTGTGGGTTGAAAGATGGGATGTTGGATGCTAGTGTGTGTTAAGGTTTTGAGGCATTGAGTGGTGTGTTAGGGCACGTGGTCTGTGAAGTGGTGCGTGGAGAAGAGTGGTGACGAGATGTTATGGGAGTCTGAGTTTCATGGGAAAGCGAGATTGTGAGAGTTTGTGGGGAACGTTGAGGTGTGCAGTCGGGTGTGGTTTGGATGGAAACGGTTGTTAAACATGTGAAGTCGCCCTGGAGTCGTCCCGAGACGGTGGATGTGAATCGTGGTAGATGGGGAGTGTTTTGTGGGTGTTTACGGTTGGGGGAATGTGGTACCTAGCGGCACAGCATTTAGGGAGATATGTGAGATGGACTGTGAGCGCGGTTCGTAGGATCTGTTAGGAGTCCAGTTGGAGAGGATGTGATGCTGCAGGTTGAGGAAAGCGATTGGTTAGGTTCGCATGAAGGTGTGCCTGCTCAATTTTGCGGAATGTCGTCGTTTGTTGCCTTCGACTGGGATTCGACGGGCCAGCCGTTTCGTGCAGTCTTGGTGCGGCTGTAGTCGAGTGGCATGATATGTTGAAAACGTAGGTAGCAGTTAGCAAATGGGTTCGATGTAGAACATGAACTCTTGACAGGGTAATATGCACCTTGTAGTTGATCCATGGTGGTTTTGAATTGGAATGAAGGATGTAGTTGGTGTTCAGATTTTTGAGAGTGCAGCAGGCGGTTTTGGTTGACGCGTTTCAGTAAATATAAAATGCGTCATTGAAGAGGAACTGTTGATTATTCAGTAAATGTTCATTTGGACGTGTACAAATGAGCAGACTTCAACGAGTAAATTTTTACTCGTGCACAATGTCTACACAGGCGCAAATAAATATGAACGTGAAAATATGACTTTACACAGGACGAAAGAAGGCAAATGCTCAAATCAATGAATTGAACTATGTTAAATTTTTGCTTCGAAATATAACAGTAGCTCATACTTCTACTTCACTTTCTTATTACTTTCAGTCCCCACCTCCGAGGTTAAACTCCAGTTATTTAGTTTATGTTCATTTAATTTTTATTATTATTTTCAGCATTGCCTACTTTTTCGACAAGGAAAATGTTATACGAGTTGGTTTTATTTGGTCCAATGCAGAAAGAGAGATTCATTTGCATTGTAAAACACGAAATAATTCACATGCATCTTTATTGCTAGGAACAACCAACAAGCCACGTAGATTTTTTTGCATCTTATTCAACTCAAAATACAAGTGTAATGGGGGCTTGCTTTTGGAGTGTTTTTATCAACCTTGCAAGCTCACGTTGTTACAATAGAAGTTTTCTTACCTAGAGGTTAATTTATTTGCATTCAATTCCACTAACTTGTACCCTCACAATATCATGCTTCTATTGATCTAGCATGCAATTGCAAGAAAGTCTCCTTCATACTATACTCATAAATCAATAGTTCATGCAATATTTTGTAGGAGCTTCGGATGCAACTTGGTCCATTGGTTGTAGTTTGCAAGAGCACATCAAAGAGTTGATTTTATTAAGTGAAGAAGATTAGAGTAAAAGCAAGGGAAGTGGAGAGGATTTGGAATAGAATACAGACATGAGTAGTTATGTTGTGAGTAAGACTAGTGAAGAGTATTGCAAGGGAGAGGGGAGCAATAGTGCCACTAAAAATTTGCAATGTGAGGTGTGGTCTACAAATTGACAAAAGAAAAGGATACAAGAATTTTCCAATTCTTGAAAAGCCAAAAAAAGATGTGGTGAAATCTGTGTGGCATGTAGTTTGGATCCTAGACAAAAGAAAGAAATATTTCTAAATTTATCTAATTATATTTACCATCATCAAAAAATAGACCATCTCTAGATTTAGTTCTCTATTGTTAGATGTGCAACAAATGAAAAACGGTTGGTTAATTTTTATCAAGGTTAGAATCATAGAAACAATAGAACCTATAGTTGCCAAAAGACACTTATCTTTGGATGTTTTAACAAAGCTACAATTAGCTTTATGAGGATATGAATGAGTGGACTTCCTCTTGAGATGAGATGGATGACTATCTATTATTTGAACTACCTCTATTTTGATTCTTTGCCTTGTAGTCATGTCTTTTTCTATTTTGAAAAAAAACAACTTTTGATCATCCTTGTGGCACATATTATATGACAAATATAACAACATTTGTCAATTGAGAAGTAAAAGAGCTTTAACACACATTTATAATACCTTCAAGCATCAACATCTAAACCAAAGATGGTTTATTTTTTCATTAAAACTTCTAAGACAAGATTAAGTCAAGTAAAAGTTATACTAGGAGATGAATCTTCTAACACGCTCCACAAAAATAACTTAGCAATTGTCTATACTGCTTTTCTATTAATCTAAAAATCATCCTTAACTTGAAAGTCTACTATGACTTGCTTGTAGCAATTGTATCCATTAATCATTCCATGGAAGCTAAAAGAATATAGCATTTAAAAGAATAAGAGATGAATCAAACACTAACTTGATTGTGAAATTACAAAATCTTATGTATGCATATTTTGATAGAAAAACCTAATCAAAGCTATAAAGCTATAATCTCAGTATAAACATTACACTTATATTTCTAATACTTTGTTATTGCTAATTCAATGATCAATATTTTTTTATTATTTCTTAATATAAAAAAAATTCAATCTTGCATTACAAAAGAAATATCTATTACTTGCAAGTATAGTCAACTACAAAGCTCTACTAACATTTGAGGACGTAAAGTCCACACTCATTTAATTTGCTGAGTTCCTAAAGGAAAATCACATCAAGTGAGAATTAAAACATTAATTTATATAAATAATCTAAGATACACCTTTCAAGTTAAGTGTATGCTTATATATCAAGAATTCACAAAGTACGCATGCATTCTAATAAGAATCTACATGGTTCAAAAAAATACCCTATTTTGCAATTATCTAGTAAATTGAAATTAAGTACTTATCAAAGGAAAGACATGCATGGAGGTATACCTATGTTTTTTTCTAAAGCTTGTTTACAAAAATAAGGTATAATTTTAGCATTTAGTCTTTGGCACTCTCTATCTCAGCAACCATAATTTGCAATTGTAAGAGTGTTAGCTTCCAATTCTTTCTAATATGCATCTTAATAAAAGGCAAAGAAAATGGCTCTAGAATTTAAACTTCTAAGACATCTAGATGATGATGAATCCTCTAATTTTAGCCATCACAAGTATTTATAATATCTATGATCAAGCAACAACTAACCCAACTTGATGTAAACATCTCTTGCATTGTTTCATGATATTCAATGTCATGACCTTGGCAATTAGGACTAAAAACAGTTGATTCAAAGTAATTGCAAGATTTAAATGGATGAAAAGAAAGAAAATAAGTAGAAAAAAAGTTGAATATTTTATTTATTATTTATTATTTTTATATTTATGAAAAAAATTCTAATTTTAGATTAGAGATTAATCAAGAGACATCATTCTATACTTCATTTTGACATGCGTTGTTACTAGCTTTAAGAATAATCTCAAATTATATCAGGAGATTGTTTGCATTGTTTCTTATTTTGTGTGATAGTAAACATCTGTGTATAGAAACTAGACACCAATTTTGATGCAAGTTTTAAATCAAGAATCAATTTTTGGATTTAATAATGGATTTTTATTGGATTTTTATTGAACTTGTATCATTATGCTTTTGGAGCTTGCAATAAATTTACAAATAGTTATACATTCTTATCTAACTTTTTAAATTCTTATTTTTAACAAATGGTTCTTGTGTCACGGACACAGAATACAGACTTGATATCTACCAAGAAGTTCAAGAAGAACTGGCAAGAACTAGATTAATCAGATGAATACAAGAACAACACCAGAGAGGTGAGCTAGAGCTCCAAGAGATGTGTTGTCGAGATTATAGAACTCTTTAGCCTCGATCCCAATATATACTCCTATTTAGGAAGCTTCTCAAGCAACTTCTACTAACTAGAAAGCTTCTAGAAGGTTCCAAAGACTTGTTTCTAGAAGGTTCTAGAAACTTATCTCTAGAAGGTTCTAAGGACTATGTCCCTAACATCTTCTACCAACTAAGAAGCTTCTACAAGGTTCCAAAGACTTGCTTCTAGAAGGTTCTAGAAGCTTGTCTCTAGAAGGTTCTAGAAACTTGTTTCTAGAAGGTTCTAAGGACTATGTCTCTAACATCATCCCTTCCTTTAGCTTCGATGTCTCTGAGAACCAATGTTGTTGTCAATCAATACCAACGCAAGAAAATGAAGATCTGTCGTATAACGTCTGCTATGAACTCTAAGTGTTGTTCACAAGGTAAGTGGTTCGTCGGCCCTTGAAGCCAATGGTAGTGGCCCACTCCTTCAACTTCTGACCAAGCATGAACTTCCGTGTCTTCATTGTGAAATTGTCCTGCAAATATGCCTTCTAGTTGACCATCGTAAGCAGGCTCGGACTCAAATACAATCACCAGTGATCGGTTACTTGGTATCCTCCGTCATCGTCGTGGTACAGGTGGTTTTTTATCTCGGGGTCGCCTTTGTGAACTAGTTGGTTGAGATAATCTGACTGGCATAGTATCTATCTCTTGGCTATCCATATCAGAAGACCAAACTATGGCTACTGAAAAAATTCTATTTTATCTTAGAGAAAATAACTACATCAACTACGAATTTTGGTGGTGCTCTCTCCCTTTCTTATATTCTTGGGTGAGCAAGCTTCAGAAAGAAGCTATTGTCGAACCGGCTTAGGTTTATGAGGATGTTGTTGATGAAACTCCTGTACCTTTTGTGGCGCATTGGTGAGATTTTCAGCTGGCTCCCACGTTCGCTCATTAATGTCATAGCCGCACCAATGAACAAGATACTCCAACTTGCCCCACCTTCGCCGAGAATCCAGCACCTTTTCAACCTCGTATTCCTCGTGGTTCTCGATCTCAATACTAGGTGGTGGACATTGCACTCTTCTAGGAAAAGATGACTCTCGATAAAGCTCCAACAAAGAAACATGAAAGACTGGATGTACCTTCATAAAAGCCGGTAATTCCAGACGGTACGCCACTGGATTGATTTGCTTTTGGATGATAAATGGTCCCAATCTTCGATAGTCCAACTTATCACATGGTCGCTTGGTCTTGATATTCCGTTGAAGAAGCCATGCTTTATCTCCAATTTTGAAAGTAGGTGCTTGATTCCAAAATCTATCTACAGACACCTTGTAGGATTCTTGAGCGGATTGTAATTGAAGCTTTAACGTATTTTGAAGCTTTGATAGTTGTTTCGCAAATCCTTCAGCTGCTGGATTGTTATTTGTTGATGGACTCAATAAATCAAGCTTTGGATGATACCCATAGTTGGAAAAGAATGGTGTGTATTGAGTCGACGCATGGAGGGTGTTGTTATATGCAAACTCGACTAGCGGCACATATGTGGTCCAATCGTCTTCCTGATAGTTGATGCTGCATTCTAAGTATTGTTCCAAGACTTGGTTCACCCGTTTCGTTTGACCATCAATTTGAGGATGAAAAGTCGAAGAAAGCTTGATATCCACC